CAACTAACTCACACACTGTACGGACGTGTTGCATACTTTATACAATTTATAACGTAAGTAAAATACATCAGTACTATTTTTTTAATTAATAGTTCCCAGTGATCGCTCAGTGGCCGAAATCCGATCATATTCAATACTAGCTGTAAAACTATATTTAGAATTAAAAAAAAGAGATTTTTTTAAATTATATTTAGAACAGCCACGTCTGCTACTTGTTTGGATAACATATTTAGCAACAGTGAATATTTAGATAAAATAATATTAAACAACCTTCCTTCTGATCACTGTGGTCAATTAGTAATTTTTCCAAATCACGTAAACAAAATTAGGAAAATTAATTTATTAAAAAGAGACTTGACTAGTTATAAGATCAATAAATTTAAAATATCAGTTCGTAGTAAATTAGATTTTTGTCCTCAATCTGATGAACCAAACAAACTTTATACAGATTTCTTCAATATTGTTTCTTACGAGTATAATAAGGCTTTTAACAAAAAAACTATCAGTATTAGTAACAAAACAAAATTTTCAGAATGGGCTACAAAGGGAATTCTTAAAAGTAGAAATATATTATTTGATTTATATGCTCAAAAAAAAAATACCGTTTCGATAGTACATTCGTAAATTATGTAAAAAGATACTCAAAAACTTTTAAAAAGGTATGTAATGTAGCAAAGTCTAATTATCTAAATAAAAAAATTAAAGAATCCAAGGATAAGATTAGGACAGTGTGGAATATTATTAATAAAGAAACTGGCAAAGTTAAAAGTCCATATAATGATTTTACGTTAAATTATAATGATAAACTAGTAACGTCCACAAAAGAAATAGTCAATATTTTTGAAAAATTTTTCGCTAATATTCCAACTGATATTACGTCCTCTTTGGACTCTTCTCCAAGTACAGCTAAATCATTCCTTATTGACAATGTTGCTTCGTGTCCGGTTACATTTAAATTTACATTTATTGACATTGCTACAATTACGAAAACATTTAAACAATTAAATTTAAAAAATACTGAAGACCATTGGGGCATGTCTGTTAAAGTTATTAACACCGCTATAGATGTTATTGCTCCATATTTAGTAACTATCTTCAATAAATGTATTTTTGACGGTGTTTTTCCCAATTTAATGAAACATAGTAAAATAACTCCACTTTTTAAGTTAGGGGATAAAACTGAAGTAGGTAATTATAGGCCCATTTCTATCTTACCAGTACTAAGTAAAGTGTTTGAAAAAATTATGCTCAATCAGATGCTTCACCACTTTAAAATAAATAGACTGCTTCACAGTCGGCAATTTGGTTTCACGGCCGGTAAATCAACTACTGACGCTGGTGTAGCTTTAATGAAACACATTTTTGACTGTTGGGAGAGGTCACAGGATGCTATCGGTGTATTCTGTGACCTCTCAAAAGCATTTGATTGCGTTGATCATGAAACACTCTTACTCAAATTAGAATATTACGGTATTAGATATGAAGCACTATGCATGATGAAATCCTATCTAAATAATAGAATGCAAGTTGTTGAAATAAATGGTGTAAAGTCTGAGGGAACTAGTATTAAAATGGGTGTTCCTCAGGGCTCTATTCTAGGTCCTTTCTTATTTTTAGTTTACATAAACGATCTTCCTTATATGGTAGAAAAGATAGCTGACATAGTTCTGTTTGCTGATGATACTTCATTAGTATTCAAAGTCAATCGACATATTGATGATATGGACGAAGTAAACGGTTCTCTCTCTTATGTTTTAAAATGGTTTACGGCAAATAATATGCTACTAAATGCAAATAAAACTAAATGTATCAAATTTACTCTCCCCAATGTAAGGCCGGTAGATTCAAAAATCGTATTGGACAATAAATCTATTAATTTTGTTGACGATACTGTATTTCTAGGTATCACATTAGATTCCAAGTTGCAATGGGGAGCTCATATTACTAAATTGGCGAGTCGACTTAGTTCTGCCGCTTACGCGGTAAGAAGAATTAGACAATTAACAGACGTGGCAACGGCTAAACTTGTCTATTTTAGCTATTTCCATAGCATTATGTCGTATGGTATTTTGTTATGGGGCAAAGCAGCTGATATAAATACAATATTTACTTTACAAAAGAGGGCCATTCGCTCCATTTATGGTATGGGTTCCAGGGAGTCATTGCGAGAGTGTTTTAAGGAATCAAATATCCTCACCGTTGCTTCTCAATACATTTATGAAAATATCATCTATGCCAGAAGGAATATAGACAGTTTCAAAAGAGTTAGTGATTGCACTAATAAAAGCTTACGTAACAATAACAAACTGATTTTACCTAAATGTCGTTTGGCTAAAGTTAGTAATTCGTTTTATGGCAATTGCGTAAGGTTTTACAATAAAATACCAGAGTCTGTTATAAATCTGCCAGAAAAAAGATTTAAATGTCAAATAAAACAGTTCCTTTGCAAAAAAGCTTACTATAAAATTGAAGAATTCGTTAACGATAATAATGTTTTTATAGAAAAACTTTAAATCTATAGCACTGACAATATTATCTGATTACATTAATAATGAGTGCGTAGCGACTTCTATGTTGATTATCGCATGCCTCTTACTTGTTATACTGTAATTATTTATATAAAAAAAAACATCTATTAAAAAGAGCAACACACAAGTTTCTTGCTCATTCTTCTTGTGATGAATCTGCATTCCGAATGAGTGGTAGAATCAAAATATGACTATTCAAAAGTGCTTGTAATGAGTTTATTTGAATAAAGATTATTTCTATTTCTATTTCTATTTCAACAAGCTGTTCCCGCGACTTCGTCCGCGTGGAAAATAACATTATTTTTCTAAAATAAAAGTAGCCTAAGTTACTCCTTATTACATCAGCTACCTGCCAAAAAAAGTCCCGTCGAAATCGGTCTAGCCATTTCAGAGATTAGCCGGAACAAACAGACCGACAGACAGACAGACAAAAATTGTAAAAAATGTTATTTTGGTGTATGTATCGTATTTATATTCATATGCATGTAGTATAAAAAAAACGTTTATTTCAATGTTAAGATATAATTCAATTTTACTTATATGTATAGATAACATTCAGTAAGACTATAGATAAATAATATTAATCTATTCTCAATTTGACCACAGACTTCATTACATAGTATAAAACAAAGTCGCTGTCGCTGTCTGTCCGTTCCTATGTATGCTTATATCTTTAAAACTACGCAACTGATTTTGAAGCGGTTTTATTTAATAGATAGAGTGATTCAAGAGGAAGGTTTATATATATAATACATGTACACCCAGGCGAAGCTAGTACGAGTAGCTAGTTAACAATAAACAAAAGAGTATATGCGTGAGTCAAAACACGGTCGTAGGTGTAATATTTTTTGATGGATGTAATGTATTTTTATATATATATATATATATAATTAAAAAAAAATTAGCATTTTGCACTTCTTCTCTATATAAGCTATAAGTGTGTGAAATTTCATACTCTGCCGATCGCGTCATTTTCATTAAAAGGGGTACAAAGTTTTAGCTTCACTTATAAAAAAAGTGCCATAGCGTGTTATATAAAGCTCTAACTCTAATAATATAAAAATCATTGCTATTCATTTGTCTCGATAATACAATATTCTATTTAAGGAATCAAATATCCTCACCGTTGCTTCTCAATATATTTATGAAAATATCATGTATGCCAGGAAGAATATAGACAGTTTCAAAAGAGTTAGTGATTGCACTAATAAAAGCTTACGTAACAATAACAAATTGATTTTACCTAAATGTCGTTTGGCTAAAGTTAGTAATTCGTTTTATGGCAATTGCGTAAGGTTTTACAATAAAATACCAGAATCTGTTATAAATCTGCCAGAAAAAAGATTTAAATGTCAAATAAAACACTTCCTTTGCAAAAAAGCTTACTATAAAATTGAAGAATTCGTTAACGATAATAATGTTTTTGTAGAAAAATTTTAAATACATAGCACTGACAATATTATCTGATTACACTAATAATGAGTGCGTAGCGATTTCTATGTTGATTGTCGCATGCCTCTTACTTGTTACACTGTAATTATTTATATAAAAAAAAAAACATCTATTAAAAAGAGCAACACACGAGTTTCTTGCTCATTCTTCTTGTGATGAATCTGCATTCCGAATGAGTGGTAGAATCAAAATATGACTATTCAAAAGTGCTTGTAATGAGTTTATTTGAATAAAGATTATTTCTTTTTCTATTTCTATTTCTGATTTGACTGATTTCGTTACATTCGCTACAAATATAGGGGCGATTAAATAAAAACAACTGAAGGAACCCGGATAATGATTTTTCTCAGAGCTTTGTTTCAATACTAGAGTGCATGCAATTTTCTTTGATTGTTGCTCGTAATTGGATTATAACAAATTTATATATTTTTTATTAAATAAAAATTAGCTAATTCCAACAACTTCCTTTGCTATTTTGCGATGAAATAAATGTCCTTGTTTGTGATATAATTCTATAATATATTCCCATATATTTTTCCTTTTTAATCATTTTAAATAATTACTAGTAAAAATGACAATAAATTATATTACTGGCATTTTAGAATTTATAATATTGGGTAGTTCTATCTTAGTAGCTATTGTAATGTTTGATTATAATTAATTCTCTATATAAATTTCAGATCATCATCATCTGCTTCTTCCTTATCCCATTTATTTGGGGTCGGCGTAATATGTTTTTCGCTTCCATTCATCCCTGTTCGCAGTCATCGCGTTATTTACTTCCTTTCTTACCATATCATCTTTCACACAGTCCATCCATCTCTTTTTCTCTGCCCTTATAACCATCCGCATTCATTTGTAACGCCTTTCTTAAAATATTATCCTCGTTCCTACGCATTACATGTCCATACCATGATAGACGATTACTCTTCAACCTCTCTGACACCGCTGCCACGTTCATACTTCCTCTAATGTATTCATTCTTTATCTTGTATACAAATTTCAGATCGATGGTCCAAAATGGCGGTTTCGCCAGCAATATCAAATGTTCGAAGCATACAGAATGCTATGAACTTATTGCAAACGTATCTTCAATTAACGGCGTATTTGTTTCCACCGCAGCCTAATTTAGAAGGTATAAAACTAAAAAAAATACAATATTGTACCTAGATAACACTTTAATCAATGTCATCTTCTTTGGTACCTACATCTCATCTATTTCAATCGCTTTAGCAATTAGCTTTCTAAGATATGTTTCGACTGAAGCGTGAGATGAAGCAATAGAATTAGAAGGTACCGTTTGGCCAAATTCTCCGCAAAATTCAGATTTTGAAATAAAATCTCAGTAAAATAAGTGTAATTACAGTGTCAATTGTTCAACACTTAATATTGCTACTTAGCGTTCCATGGATTCACCATGCGGGTGCCGGTTCCATCCCGAGTCCTCGGGAATTATGACCCGAGTGTACATTTTAGGGGCCCCGTTCCGGTATATATATTAACACTCACTTTCACCGTTGTTGTTTTCTCTCTTCCAAATCTGCTAGTGCAGTTTTAAATGCGCATTCTGGTATAGAAGTTACTGCAGTTCTAGATAGGCCTTGATATTACAGAGAAGATATTAATATAATAACTGTATGTATTTCTGTACCAACAGATGGCTGTAAATTTGATTACTTAGTGGTGGGTGCGGGGTCTGCTGGATCTGTTATAGCGAACAGACTATCTGAGGATGCACAGACTAGAGTACTGCTTATAGAAGCTGGCGGAAACCCTCCTTTGGAAACTATGGTAATTTTAGATGATTTATTATTCCAGTTAGTTATCTGATCATAAAAGGAAGACATAGTCACGGTTTAGCTCACCGCTTTACTTCCAATGGTTGCGGGTTCGGTTCCTCGCACAGTACCAACATTTGTATTCCTATGTCTGATTGATTATTCGGTCTGGATGTATTCTATGTATATTATGAATGTATTTACAAAAAAATGCACCCATATATTATATACAGTTCTGTAGTACCGATGACACAAGCTCTGCTTAACTTGGGACTAGATGCGTTGTGTGAATTGTCTGGGAGTTAAAAAAATGTTTTTCTTTTCAGTACCCATCATTGCTGGCTTACCATAAAAACTCCCCAGTTGATTGGAATTTTACTAACACGGACAGAGTATGTACACATCATAATTGTGAAATCCCCGCTTTAATTCAAGGGAAAATGTTAGGAGGATCCAGTAGCCTCAACTATTTGAATTACATAAGAGGGTCCCCATGCGACTACGATTCATGGGCAGCATTACTGAATGATGATTCTTGGACTTTCAACAATGTGCTACCAGAATTTAAAAAAAGTGAAAGATTTCTAAGTTTCAACTATGTCACCTCAGAAGCGGGTAAATTTCATGGAGCACATGGGAATTTAGGAGTTACTAAAGTTCACCGTGAAGCGGATATTTTATATTTGAAGGCATTTCAAGAACTTGGTTATGAAATAGTCTCGGATGTCAATGGTGCTTCTATATTGGGTTTCACAGAACCTATGTTAACTAATGATGAAATTTCCCGTCAAAGCACTGCATATTCCTTTTTGTCGCCGATTAAAGATCGCTCCAACCTTGTAGTTTTAAGAAACGCGTTGGCAACTAAAATTATCTTTGATAATAATAATGTAGCTACAGGAGTAGAAGTGCTTATCAATAATAATAAGTTTACATTTTACGCTGAAAAAGAAATTATTGTATCTGCTGGAGCTTTCAATTCACCTAAACTTTTAATGCTCTCAGGTATAGGTCCTAAAGCACATTTAGATCACTTGGCAATTAAGACAATTTCAGATCTTCCTGTTGGAGACAATTTACAGGATCATGCCGGTGCTCCAATTATAGTTACTATGAAAAACTTGAAATACCCAACCGCTATTCCGAATCCACACAATTTCCCAGTACCTTACACAGTTGGTTTTGTGTCATTGAATAAGAAATCCCAAATCCCAGATTATCAAGCATTAAATTATATTGCTAATCCAGAGATATTCTCAACATATTGTGAATTCACTTGGGATTATAAAAAATCTGTTTGTGATGCATTAAATCAGGGTAGTCCAGGTACTCAGATATTATTTGGCGTTATTAATATTCTGCATCCAAAATCAAGAGGAAAAGTAACATTGAAAAGTGTAAACCCCTTAGATCATCCCGTCATTGAAACTGGACTGTTCTCTAACACGGAAGATCTAGAAAATGTTGTCGAATACATTGAAGATTACATTCGTGTCGTTAACACAACTATCTTCAGAGAAGCTGGAGCAGATATCGTTTATTTAAACTCTCCAGATTGTCCTCATGAACATGGTAGTAAGGATTATTGGAAGCATTATGCATCGCGTATGTCGTACACTTATCATGACTTTGTTGGAACCTGCTCCATGGGATCAGTGGTTGATTCCCGGCTGCGAGTAATTGGAGTACAGAACCTCCGTGTGGCAGATTCTAGCGTTATTCCAATAATTACAAGTGGAAATATCAATGCAGCAGCGATTCTGATTGGAGAGAAAGCAGCAAAAATTATTAAAGAAGATAATAATAATTAATTACTTTTACATAGATTTAACGATAAAGTAAATGATGATTCTGTTTTAATAAATCTCAAATTTGGAACTAATTTTTGATATTTTCTTTTTGCTACTACAGTGTTTTATTTTTATTCTAGGGAACATTTTTGCCACATTTTTTGTGTTCCTAATATATTTATCCTATTAATATTATAAAAGCGAAAAATTGTGAGTATTAATGAATGTTTCTTACTCTTTCACGCAAAAATTACTGAACGGATTTTGATGATACTTTCACAATAATACTTTCAAATATTTTTACAGACTAGTGATTAGATCACTCGTTTGTATAAATAACTATATATATAGGAAACAGATATGACTTTGTAGAAAGTCTACATCGATGAAACATGTATATATAGTAATCTATACATATAAAAAAAATTTAAGTGTCTGTTTGCAATATTGAAATAATCGTTTTTTACTCCATGCATATGAATATAAATACGATACATACACCAAAAATAACATTTTTTACAATTTTTGACTGTCTGTCTGTCGGTCTGTTCCGGCTATTCTCTGAAATGGCTGCACCGATATTGACGGGACTTTTTTTCGCAGGTAGCTGATGTAATAAAGAGTAATTTAGGCTACTTCTATTTTAGAAAAATAAAGTTAAATTCCACGCGGACGAGGTCGTGGGTAGTATACAAATATATACAATACAGTTAGTATACAAATATATTTCAAAATGGTGGCAATATTCTCCGAAAAGTCATTTAAAATCGCGAACATAGTATGTTGTAAAAGCAACTCCAGTCTGTTTTATAAAAGGAAACCACGAACATGAACTTCCAACTAAAAAAATAGAAATCGTATTTCAAATAACATGATTCTGAGGAAACAAACATTAGAAAAATAACATTACAAAATAAATCCTTCTATAAGTTGAAATTAGTATTATTAAATTTAATACTAGTTTTTACCCGCGGCTTCGGCCGCATAATTTCATTACTGGTTGCTAGATGGCGCTGAAGTAGCAAAATGTTGATATATATGTTGTAGTAATAAGAAAAAAGACTAGGTAAACGGAGAAAACATATTAATATAGACTACTGACAATTAGGAATTGAACTATCAAAAACAAGAATGTAATATAAAAGAACTATAAATTCAAATACAAATTTAGAATATAAAATACATATCTGATTAGCTAGTTACAACAATATATATAATTTTTTTGTTTTTTTTTAAATAAAAATTATCCTATGTTCATTCTAACATCTCCAAGAATATGTGTACAAAATTTCATGATGAACGGTTCAGTAGTTTTTGCGTGAAAGCGTAACAAACAGCCATACTATCACATTTATAACATTACTAGCTGTAGTCGCGATTTCGTCCGCGAATTTAACTTTATTTTTCTATAATAAAAGTAGCCTAAGTTACTCCTTATTACATCAGCTATCTGCGAAAAAAGTCCCGTCAAAACCGGCGCGATTTCGTCCGCCAATTTAACTTTATTTTTCTACAATAAAAGTAGCCTAAGTTACTCCATATTACATCAGCTACCTGCCAATAAGAGTCCCGTCAAAACCGGCCCAGCCATTTCAGCTTAGCCGTACCAAATAGACAGACAGACAAAAATTGTAAAAAATATTATTTTACTGTACGTACCGTACCTTATTTCTATTCATAATATGCATGTAGTAAAAAATGTTTATTTCAATATTACAAACAGACACTCCAATTTTATTTACATGTAGAGATTAAAGATACACCTATATACTTTGTTATTTTTACCCGGTACCAAATTATTTACTCGAATTTTCATAGAATTAATAAAACTAAACATATTAATTAGGGCGCCCTCAACCCACCCTGATTTTTTGCGCGGTAAACAACGCCGGCCTGTTTTTTTTTTATTAAAACAACAGCGTAAAGTAATAAAATAAACATCTATAAAGGTTTTATGTTAATTATTATTTTTGGCCTGTTTCCTAATTAATTTAGACAGAAATACAGGGTTATAGATGCTTCGTTACTTACATGTATTAATGAGTAAAAGTAAATACATAAATTAGATACAGAAATAGCATAATACCTATCACAAATGTACAACTGTAGAGTTATATGTGTTACGTTATTCAAACAACAAGTGTAGGCTGTGAATGATACTTTATTCTTTTGTACAATGGGTGACACATTAGAGTATTTATTATTTATCTACCTACATATTAGTTAATAATATCTGACAATATGAACTGGCTAACCAGCTGTAAGTAGGTACGTAATATATAAGCAGTGGCGTAGTTAGAGCCCTGAGGCAAATCAAAAAATGGGGCCCCACTGCTCAGGACATTACAGTTTTATTAAAACACACATATCGCTATCCGTCAAATTGACACTTCTGCCAACCCACAGAGAAATTTATGGGAATTCCGAAGGTATAACTTTCGAATTTATCAACTGAGTTGCCATGATTAAAGTCGGGTTACAACCTGTCATATTTATTTTGAAATTGGGAGAAATTTTGAAAAGATTATGTCGAAAGAGATTTTCTAGTAAGGGTTCGAGGGCCCCCTGAGCTCGAGGACCCGGGGCACCGGTCCGCCTAGCCCCTAGGTAGCTACGCCACTGTATGTAAGTACATATATGTCGTGAATTTGTGTACATTTCTGTATAATAATATACCTGAACAATCCACACAGCGCCATCTAGTCGCAAACTAAGCCTTGCTTGCATTATTGTACTAGACAATTGATATAAACATGTATAGTTATTTTTTTGTAAATACATATAGAAAACAGCCTGACCGATACAAACAATCATACAAATTATTGCAAGGAACCGAACCCGCGATCAAAGGAACTAAGATGTTAAACCGTTAGGTCAAGAATAGAAATGATGTTTAAAAATACAGTTTCAGGAGAACTTTTCTGATAAATAACAGACTATTTAGAATAATATATAAGGAAAGGGATGGTTAGTATCATCATCTGCTTCTTCCTTATCCCAGTTGTATGTGGTCGGCGTAATATCTTTTTCTCTTACATTCATCTCTGTTCGCAGTCATCTCGTTATTTACTCCCTTTCTCACCATATCATCTTTCACACAGTCCATCCATCTCTTTTTCGGTCTTCCTCTACCCTTACAACCATCCACATTCATATGTAACACCGTCCTTAGGATATGATCTTCATTCCTACACATTACATGCCCATACATTAGTTAGTCATCATCATCATCATCTCAGCCCGGAAGACGTCCACTGCTGGACATAGGCCTCTCCCAAAGATCTCCACGACGATCGGTCCTGCGCTGCTCGCATCCAATGCCTTCCAGCAATCTTGACCAGATCGTCGGTTCACCTTGCTGGAGGCCTCCCTACGTTGCGTCTTCCAGTCCGTGGTCGCCACATTAGTTAGTAATGAGAATGTCGATCTCTACACGGTTCCCACTGAAAACCATCGTGATAAGTTCCTCGTGAATTTGTCACGATGTGCTAACTAACCTGATCAATGGAAAGGGAGAGGAAGCCCTAATAAAATGGATGGATTGTGTCAAAGATGATACGAATTAAAGGAGATATGAGCATACAGATACGAGACATACGTACATACATATAGTATTTTCACTAACAAAAACAATACACAGAAGCGTAAAGAATAGTAGCAAAAATCATATCATATATTATATATAATATAATCATATATTAGGGCATAGCCCTAATAGACAGCATTGTGGTAAATTCCTGGCGAATTTGTCCCGATGCGCTAACCAAATTGACCTCATGCTTAGAGATGTGCTAACTCGTAACAAACGTAACTCGAGTTGAAATTCAGGTAACTCGAGTTAACTCGAGTTGACCCGAGTTACCTTTTTTTTTTTTTTTTTTTCGAGGGGAAATGTTCAAAACAGAACCGTCCGTCTTTATGAGAGGGTACGGACGGATACTGTGGGACTTGACCCACCAAAACCCCCCGGTGTTCCTTCGCACCACGAAAATCCGCCGGACGCACGGGAGCATAATATTCGTCCGCACGCCGGCCGCGTTCTCCATGACAGAGCCGCCTCCGAGTGTGGGTTACGGGGACCACTCCGTACCCACCCTCCACGGACCACTCCTCGCCAATGAGCTTTGGATGCCCCCACATCCGCCGCTCTGAGGGTCCAGAAAAGAGTGTTGGGGCCTAGGGCGTAAACCACCGCCTTCGGCCCCCCACCAGTAGGCCGCGGCCGCGCCTGCGTCGCACTAAGCACCCCAGGCGAGACCACGTATCGCCACGCTAGGCAGGGCGGCGCTGAAGGCACCGCCCCGCCCGGTGCCCCGACAGGTCGGGGCCAACACGCACACAAGGCCGACAATGACGTCAAACGGCTGACGTGGTCGGCAATGTCCGCCGGGCCGCGTGAAGCGCAACCCGGGGGCTCTCTCCGGACGAGCGCAGCGGCGCGAGCGTCACTGCGCCCGTTGCCCCAATTCAGGGGCCACACACACACAACACGCACACAGGCATTCACACACGCACGCCCCATCCCCCGCGGCAGCGCGCGCGCGGCCGTAACCCCCGCTGACGGGGGCGCCGGCCGCGCGCGCCCAGCCCTCCCGCTCCGCCGACCGTCCGAAAGCGGACGCAAGGCAAGAGAGGGTGCGAAAGAAGAGGGCCTACGCCGGACGGACAGACGGACACTGAGTGTCCATCGCCTCCGGGTCTTCTCCGGAACGCACCGTAGCACGGTCCTCGCCAGCGCGGCATCGCGATCCGCCTACCTCGTGGTTAGCCTCTCGGCCAACCGCTGCACAATGGAGGCAGTGAGCCGCCGCGGTACATGAAGGAGCACTGTGCCCTTCCTGTCCGCAGCGGAAACACCTACCACTGTACCTTATCTTCCTATTGCACCTGCGCCCGGTATGACCAGGGAGCAGGCAACAATAGCACCTCATAGGTCTCGACTTTAGCAGCTCAACCCGAGCCGCCATCCAGCCAACCATAAGCCGACCTGCATCACTCAGCCTTTTTGCCGCTGCTACAGG